GGCTTAACTTTTGTTTTTTTTTCTTTGAATAATTATCACATAATTGCAGTTGCAGTGAATTATTTACTATGTGATCATTGTTAGTCATCAAGATAACCCCAAGTCTTATAGGTAGATCAAGTTTTTTTTATCAAAAATAATTTAAAATTTATGACATTAGTCTAAAAGCTTTAACGATGTTTTTACATTTTTTTTTTCTGAAACTGATATATAAGAATAAATACGAAATTGTACATAAAAATAGTCAAGAGGGAACAAAATACACTTAATAGATCGTAGACACACATTTGATGTGACATTTACAGGATTATTTGAAATCTATTAATTTGTTTGTGACCGATTAAGGGATTTTAACTGTGAGTGTATGTATGTGTATTTGACGTTTAAAAGTCGTTTTTGGGTATTCCAAATGATTTGGCGGCTTTACTAATACCCATATCACCATTTATTACAGCATCTACGGCATCACTTAACTCCCTAGACGTCCAGTTACCTCTCTTAGATGTATTTTGTTTGCGAATATATTTATTGGGCATAATTCTAAAACAAAACATACTGGTTCAACTCTTCTCTTCGTAAGTGATCCATTTATCCTCAAATAGGAGGGCAGATGGACCAGCTCATATTGTTTAAAATTAGTAGACTACAGCAATAGATCTTACTCTATAATACACATTTTAAATATAGTTTAATAATAAACTAACAAATAATTGGTAAAACTCACCTGTTTTTACAAAAAATAAAATGAAACGTGTCACTTTACCCCAGCATACACTTTGTACAGTTTTTTTAGTTTTTCTTTATAATCAGGACCAATTAAAAGAAACTACGCAGTGGTCAGATAGAGAAATCTAAGAAAACAGCATTTAGAATTGACGAAGGCTCTATGAGAATCATCAGTAGAAGATATGAAGTTTCTTCAAGTACACTATTCAAAAGAATAAAAAATATGGCGATCATAATGTACTCAGCAGAAAAACATTGGGTAGATTTGAACCACTGTCTTCATTGCTGAATAAGGAAAGGAAATGCAAGAATATTTTTTAAAATGGAAAAACGACTTTTTGGGTTGAGTGTAACTGATTTTCGTGTACTTGCTTCACCAGTTTGTACCAAGAAATAACATTCCTTATAATTTCTCAAACACAACTGCATTGTCTAGAAGAGATTGGATAGCAGGATTTATAAAGCGCAATAAATATACAAGTATTAGGCAACCTGAAAATAGCTCCGCCGCAAGAGCATCAGCATTAAATCGTATAAATGTGACTAGGTTTTTTAATGTCCCAACAGTTTTCTAATAAACCAACTAAAATTTTGTAATTGGAAGGAAAAAAACAAGTGGGAACATTGTCGTTAGGAGGAACAGTCACTACCATATATCTCAAGATGAGTTGTAACCCAATTGGTGAAATTATTCCACCTTTAAAATTATTTCCTCGAGTTCGAACGAACCCTTTATTTGAAGTATACCTACCCCTAGAAACAAAGGCGACCTGCCACCCTTATATATAACATAATCGGTATATAACAAAAAAAACTTGTCTGTTGAATAGCGATTATAAACTTTTGGCTTACACGACTTTAAAAACGCGCTTCATTACTTTTTTTAGCGTCATAAATTGTCGTGAAATTTTTAACATGATACAAAATTAGCGGTTTTATAAAAAAATAACTAATTTAAGCATTATTGATGTACATTTTTGTGATACAATCGATTTATGAATAATCCTGTAAATCCAAATTTTAAATTTTAAATTGTGTAAAGTATTATCGTAGTTTCTATCGAATCTAAATTTTAGATCAATGTGTTCTGCTTATTTTTTGTATTATTCATGATAGAAAAATGTTAATATGGATTTTGTTAAGGATACTTGTGTAGGAATTTAAAAAAGGCTTATTTATTATTCAACATACTAGTTTTTTTACCGGCCAAATAATGTTGCTAAATACCAACCGCTGGAGAATCAAAGCACTATGATAAAGAATTAGCAAACATGATAATAAAAAGTGCAGACAAACCTAAGAAATATCCAAAAATAATATTTCTGCGTATTTCTAAGTTTTCGATCTATAGTTTTTTTCTCTTGTAGCGGATGAAGGCTAATATAGGAGAAAAAAATATAAAGACTACTATTATAGTCTGTGCTTACAAATATTGTGCTATAAATTTATTCATCGAAAATGACGCGCCATTAGTGGTGAAATGTAGCCAAAATCACGTGCACATCATGAATACTAGGAAATTTTGAATTCGATCATTTATCAGCGCATAAGAAAATATGTTTTCTTTCTGTTCTCTTTATATTGCCTCAATATTATATATTATATTATATGTTTACTATACTACAGGAAGTTGAATATGCAATCATCATCATTCTAGCTTTACAAAATTGCGTGGGTCCTAGCCTTTTCAAGAATTTCTCTCTAGTCGTCCCTATCATTGCCTTCCCTCGTATTCCCTTCTTATGTCTTCATGGATGTTATCAAGGAAACTTGTTGTGGATCTTTGTCTTCTTCTCTGACCAATGGGTCTATCAAGAAGCATTTTTTAGTTGGGTCATTTTGTTCCATCCGCAATACATATTCTATCCACCTCAGACGTCCTATCTCAATATATTTTCCGGTACCTGGTTCCTGGTTTATTCTATAAAGTTCAAAGTTGTATCGACTTTTCCACACTCCATTGTCATTCACTGCTCCATAGATTCCAACTTTTCTTTCAAAACATCCCAACATATTGTCATCTTTTGTTAGAGTCCGGGTCTCTGGCTCATATGTTAGGACTGGGCGTATTATTGTTTTATATAGTTTTTATTTTGTATTTCTCAATATAATTGTGGATTTAAGTAGAAGATTATGAAGAAGATATCAGCTTTATGCTCACAAAACTAGAAGAAGAATATAAAAACAACGGAATGGAAATAAACTTAGAGAAAACCGAATACCTAACAACAGAAAACAAGGATATGAGAAACCTAGAGATAGACGAGGGAAGACAAGTAAATGGAACAGATAAATTCAAGTATTTAGGAACCATAATGTCGAACCAGGGAACAACAAAAGAAGATATAAACAACAGACTAAGACAAACAAGAAACTGTATAAGACAACTAAATTCAGTGCTGTGGGATAAGAACATTACGATAAAAGCAAAAAAGAGAATATATAATACCCTGACAAGAAGTATCCTGACATATGGGTCCGAAAACTGGACAATAAACAAGAGAAATAGAGGTAGAATAAGAGCAGTAGAAATGGAGTTCCTGAGGAGAAGCTGTAGACTTACAAAAAGAGACAGAATTGAAAACGCAGAGATTAAGCGAAGAATGGGAGTGCAATCAGACATAATCGACTATATAGAGGAGAAGAGACTATCCTGGTACGGCTACGTCAGAAGAGCGGACAGAGGACGCTGGATAAACAAAATTACAGAATGGAGCCCGATCGGAAGAAGAAAGAAAGACCCCGAAGGTCATTCAGAGACGAAATCGACGAGGCTATGGAGAAAAGAACCCTGCGAGATGGAAACTTGAATGACAGGGAAAATTGGAGAAAAGGTTAGTGTGAAAGAAGACAGTGAAAACTGTGGAAATCCTTAGTAGTAGTAGTAAGTAGAAGATTAAGCCCAAAATAGTATCTGTTGGCCGTGCAAATTCTGCGGTTTACCTCTGCGGTAGTATTATTTTCACTGTGTGGCGATTGCCCCTTGCATCAACGATTATATAACAAGCAAGAACGGATGGTCGGAAATGGAATAGGAACTTTTCAGATATACTTAATTCACGAATGCTGAGCGACATCGTGAGCTCGTCAGGTCCCTGTTAAATGGGTATATAATCCCAGAATTTAACACTGTGAGTGTCAGAAAGTAAAAGCAGCCAAAATCTCACAACACAGTTTTGGAAAAAGTCGAAAGCTTATAACGCCCCGGCTACAGAGAATACACGTCATGAAAGGGCTCAACGATACCGTTTGACCCAATCGCGATTCCATACAATAATCTTGATTGAACATTGAGAGAACATTCTATCTCATGATGGCAACCAATATGTAGCTTCGCCGTTTTTTAAAATTTTAAACTGTTTGTCCTTGTGTCGTATAGTTTAATGTATAATTTTATGTTTATATTCTCGAGAGTTTATTTGATAGGCCAAATTTGACAAAATGCCCCTGGAGATGCTCTAGGAGCGAAATATGGAGATGCTTCATTTTATTAAAGTTCATTTAAATCAATATAAGGTTGAATGTTCGAATAATTAAACTTTGAGCGTATACAAGGCAACTATCGAACACGGTGATTAATTTAATCTTGCCCAAGTACTTTCGATCAATAGATCATCTTAAGTGGCATTTCGTCAGTTGTGGCCTATCCGGCATAGTAGAATCTCATAAATGTAAAATTTGGACATAACAATACAAAATATAATACACAAAGACAAACAAACACTTTAAAATTTTTTAAGGAGAAGCTACATGTTGTATAGAAGCCGGAGACAGAATCAATCATTATGTCATCTTGATGATGATGATGACACTTGGACAAAGATTTCTGCTATTCTCAATTATATTAAGGGTTTCACCTGTTATCCAGTATTTCCTGTTCCACAAGAATTTTTAGCTTTGGTCAGTTAATTGATGTTGTTACACAATGTTTAGTAGCCTCCCATATTTCTTGTGATGTACCCTTAGCAGTAGAGGGCATAATTTTTTCACATTTTGGAGGTCGTCCTTCTTTCGTAGTTCTCTCCTCATGGTATCTCTCCGTTTATTGGGCGCTTTAAGTTTAAGCTTTATTTTAGTTACGAGAAGAGAGATTTGATCCACATATCGGCGCTGGATTTGGTTTTTGTGAGCTCAAGGAATTTTTAAAACTCTCCGGTTCAGCCACATTCCAAATGCCTCTAATTCTTTTAGACTTTTTATCTTTATAGTACACTTTTCGACTCCATAGACTTGTAAAAACGTTTACAAAAGAACCCTGCGAGATGGAAACTTGAATGACAGGGAAAATTGGAGAAAAGGTTAGTGTGAAAGAAGACAGTGAAAACTGTGGAAATCCTTAGTAGTAGTAGTAAGTAGAAGATTAAGCCCAAAATAGTAATCTGTTGGCCGTGCAAATTCTGCGGTTTACCTCTGCGGTAGTATTATTTTCACTGTGTGGCGATTGCCCCTTGCATCAACGATTATATAACAAGCAAGAACGGATGGTCGGAAATGGAATAAGAACTTTTCAGATATACTTAATTCACGAATGCTGAGCGACATCGTGAGCTCGTCAGGTCCCTGTTAAATGGGTATATAATCCCAGAATTTAACACTGTGAGTGTCAGAAAGTAAAAGCAGCCAAAATCTCACAACACAGTTTTGAAAAAGTCGAAAGCTTATAACGCCCCGGCTACAGAGAATACACGTCATGAAAGGGCTCAACGATACCGTTTGACCCAATCGCGATTCCATACAATAATCTTGATTGAACATTGAGAGAACATTCTATCCTATCTCATGATGGCAACCAATATGTAGCTTCGCCGTTTTTTAAAATTTTAAACTGTTTGTCCTTGTGTCGTATAGTTTAATGTATAATTTTATGTTTATATTCTCGAGAGTTTATTTGATATTCCAAATTTGACAAAATGCCCCTGGAGATGCTCTAGGAGCGAAATATGGAGATGCTTCATTTTATTAAAGTTCATTTAAATCAATAAAGGTTGAATGTTCGAATAATTAAACTTTCGAACAGGCAACAGACTTAAGGCAACTATCGAACACGGTGATTAATTTAATCTTGCCCAAGAACTTTCGATCAATAGATCATCTTCAGGGGCATTTCGTCAGTTGTGGCCTATCCGACATAGTAGAATGTCATAAATGTAAAATTTGGACATAACCAATAAAAATACAATACACAAAGACAAACAAACACTTTAAAATTTTTTAAGGAGAAGCTACATGTTGTATAGAAGCCGGAGACAGAATCAATCATTCTGTCATCTTGATGATGATGATGACACTTGGACAAAGATTTCTGCTATTCTCAATTATATTAAGGGTTTCACCTGTTATCCAGTATTTCCTGTTCCACAAGAATTTTTAGCTTTTGTCAGTTAATTGGTGTTGTTACACAATGTTTAGTAGCCTCCCATATTTCTTGTGATGTACCCTTAGCAATAGAGGGCATAATTTTTTCACATTTTGGAGGTCGTCCTTCTTTCGTAGTTCTCTCCTCATGGTATCTCTCCGTTTATTGGGCGCTTTAAGTTTAAGCTTTATTTTAGTTACGAGAAGAGAGATTTGATCCACATATCGGCCCTGGACTTAGTTTTTGTGGGCCCAAGGAATTTTTAAAACTCTCCGGTTCAGCCACATTCCAAATGCCTCTAATTCTTTTAGACTTTTTATCTTTATAGTACACTTTTCGACTCCATAGACTTGTAAAAACGTTTTACAAGTTACAATCTGAGTTTGATATGGATATGTATATCACAGAATAGACGACGCAATTGAAATACGTTTTACTTCAATTCATACGTTTGATTAAAAGATAACCGATTTCGTATGAAAACAAGTTCATAGTTCAAATAGTCAAAATTTATGTTCATGATACCAAAGTTCAATAGCTTCATAATAAAGACGCAACGTCAGGCAAGGTTGGAAAAATAATTGTTGGTATAAAAATAATAATAAGGTATGTAACAATAAAACACTGAAAACAAAGTTTTCAGTATTTTATTGTTAAATAAAATAAATAACCAACCATAACGGTCGAATCCATCAACAATAAGATAGTTGAAATTTAAATAAGCCAAAAATTAAATTACGTTTTAATGAAAATTTGTTAAAATGTTTTATTGATAATTGTTACAGGGTGAACAAATATCCTAGATGTTTATAATTTATGGAATATTTACTTTTTATTATATCAAACTAAATAAATACCATGATCTTGTTTTTATTTTTTTGTCAGTATCTTATTATCATAAGGAGCATAAGAGAAAACTCAAACTTTCCTTCAAATAATCATAAATCTTTACCCGTCCTATCCAATTTACAGAAGAAAACTCAACAATTGGAGGAGGTAACAGAAAACCACCCCAAATTAGTTTTCCCAAGTATAATTTACATGAAGCTCAAACATCCAAGACAATGTTACTGATCACGGTTCTCGAAAGCCAAAAACCGGCAGAGGAGTACATACAATATCAAACTGTGAGCCTGTTTGGTAGTTATCATACGAAATCTCTACAGTTTAAGACATAACACAATACTGCCAAAGGTTTTTGGGAACACAATTAGAATAGTTCATGTTTATATGATTATGGTAGATCGCAGTCTGCGGTCCAGGCTATTTCAGGCTTTCATATCTGCTTTTAACGGCTGGGTCTCCAAATCTAAACCCTTCCTGCCGTTTAAACCATTTAATCCTTTAGTAACCTTATGGCCTAAACTAAAACTAAAACCTTCGATGTTGTCGCGGGCCATATAATAATTTTGTTACAAGTAATAACAAAATAAAGTGAGGTATAAAAATAATTAAAACAAAAAAGAGTATTATTTCTTTTATTGCTCAACAACTACATTTTTTTTATAAACGGAAAATTTATTGACAACACTTTTCAACAATCAAGACAAACATTACAAAAGCAAGGAAAAAGATGTATCCAATTAGTGTGAGGACTGTGATCGATCGGCTTCATCCTCCAATGAAGAAATGTTCACCTTCCGTTCAGTTGTAGATACTTTCATAAGATTACGTAAGGAAGAATCGGTAAGGTTGCTCCTGTTTTCATTTTTTATGTATTTCATGGAGGAAAAGGCACTTTCACATGTATATGTGCTACCGAACATTGACGTCATTTTCAGTCCAAAGTCTCGCAGGTTTGGGAATTTCACCTTTGACAGTAATTTGAAAAATTTAGGCCCCTTTTCTTGTCTGGTGATTAAGAACATATCTGCTTGAAGATCACATAACTCAAGCTGTAAGTTGGGTGGTTGATCATCAATGGTTACTCCAAGAGGGTTATTATAAAGTAGTACACTGCTTTTAAGACTTTCAATTTCTTCAAATCTTGTATTAAATTCATCAATAACTTGTTCAATTTGTGAAATGCAGGATGAAAACTCAATATTTTCCGCACCGTTGAATTCTTCTGCTATTTGCAGACAGCTGGGGAAGTGTGTCAGGTTGTTGTTTTCTAAAGCACGTTCAGCTTATTCCGGAATCCGTTTATCATTTCGATCAAATCTGAAACTCTGGTTTCTTCCTTGAAGACTCAAATTTAACATGTTAAGATGATTAGTCAAATCTGTTATAAAAGCTAACTGTCTTAGAATTCTGGATCCCTAAACTTCTCTTCCAGTTCAGTTGTGTCAGATGAAACGTATTTGTTGAGGAATGCAGGGATTTCCTTTCTTATGGTAAAAAATCGTTTCATGCACATTCCTGCACTCAGCCACCTTACATGGTTGTACATTAGCAAGTCTCCATACTCAGCCTCTGTTTCCACTAAAAACTGCTTAAGTTGTCTGTGTAAAAGAGATCGATTTCCACCTCTAATCATATTTATAATCTTAATCACGGTTTGGAAAACTTGATCTTCCTTGACTGATTTTTCACATAAAGCTCCCTGTATAATACAATGAATTGTTGGAAAAGTGACACCATTCTCTCGAAGCAGACCCACTAATCAAATTTTTTTACCTGTCATTGATGGGTCTGTTGCTATAGCTGAACATTTATCAAAGCCTCCAATTCTGTCAACTGTTTTCGTCACAGCCTCATAGATGTCTTTTGTTGTCCCATAGAGAGGACAAATATCAAATAACTCCTCTTTACTGGTAAAATCATCAAAAGTAGTGCGCACAAATATTAACAGCTGACTAACATCGGTTTGATCAGTGCTTTTATCCAAACAAAGTGAGAAATATGAACTTTTCTTAAAAAGGCTAAGTATAGGTTTTTCTACTTGCTCACCCATAGCAATAATCCTTTTTTGTATGGTTTGATGTGAAAGTGGCACTGTTTCAAATTTTTCCGCCATTTTAGAATCACCGAAAGCTTTGGCCATTTCAACAGTACATTTTTTCTCAAATTGCCATCAGTGAAAGGTTTTTTTGCCTTTGCCAGCTCAATCGACACGGCATAAGATGCATGCAAAGAATGCGTTCAAGAGTGTAATATTTTACTGAACATACCAGTTTGCTGTTTAAGCTTTTTCTTCAAATCTACAACTAGGGCACGCCGACTTTTATTTCTGTACGTAGCATACTTATTTTCATGCACTGTTGTGTAATTTCCTCTCACATTATATTCTTTAGGCACTGAAACGACATTCATGCACACTAAGCACTGCAACTTTCCATTATTGTTAGCAATCAAGAAATCACTCTCCCAACATTCTTTGCAAATTCTTTTCTCACTATCAATTTTCCGTTTTACTGGTTTTACACTCATTATTGTATAAGAGGAATCAAGACAAAGAATTAATCAAGTTCACTGTTCATTAGCAACGTTATAGAATTAGCCGACTAGCCTACGTGTCAGTAGCACACTGGCACGATGGCGGCTGGCGACGGATGGTAAGCAGTGAGAGGTGTGGCCTGCGTGAACTGTGATGCGCAGTAATCAGTGCAGTTCTCATAGTGGTGGAGTTTCTAAAATATAAAATAAAATTAAAAAATATTTTTTCACAGTGGCAGCATTTAAAGAAAATATATGCTTTTCGAAAATCTTACGTGGGTCACAACAAATAGCCTCCCGGGCCGGATACGGCCCGCGGCTTGCCAGTTGGACAACCCTGATCTATAGCAACAAGTTAAAATTTCAAAGTGGTTTTTCTCAAAAGTCACTTTTGTCCTATGTGCCCTTCTGACGTGTTCTGCCTGAATTAATAGATCTATTAATAAAGATAGAAACCATTTTTGTTATTTTAATTTTTTATATTGGAATTTTAACCATATTTCGTAGATGAGGAGATAAAGATGCAAAAAGAGTCCACAAAAGGCAATTTAAAAATAACTATGG